GGTTCAACCTAGCACGTAGCAGTAGCAAAACTTGCTTCAAGCCAAAGCTAGCAAAACAAATGCATTTACTGATCAGAGGCTTTCAGCTCCCCATGAGACATTCCAATCCTCTGCCACAGAGAAGAGGAAATTAATACTCCATTCAGCAAGCTATCCTCCGCTGCAGCAATTCCAAGGAGGAGATAGGGTACACGTACCTTCTGGTTTCAAAACTCTGCAGTCATGGGTTGCACAGCAAAGCTGTCTGCACAGAAAGATGGAAGTTTTAATAGGGGTTGGAAATCAAGCACCTGAATTGTACAGCACACAGGCACGAGGGATTCACAGGTAAGCACAGGACATGTCTTCTTATTTTTCTGAGTAGAACTATACTGCCAGTGTTCAGGATGAGTCCCTGTGGCAGTACACAGAGCACACTACCAAAAGGAGGTGTGAAATATATTGACAACAACCCCAAAGCCACCACATTATGCCCCTGTCCCATCCTCCCCTAGATAGGAGGGTCTCTTTGCTACCAAAGTTAAAGGAGCATGTGTGTTATCCATTTCTCCTCATGGAAGCTGAAAAGGCCTGTGAATCCAAATGCAGGAAAATAAAGCCCAAGATGTATTTAGTCTCAGTGTCCACATTTGTAAAAAAATAGGATGTTAGTCTTGGTTTCTGTTTTACTGATGAAAGATGTCTCCTGCCTTTGAGTAACTTCTCCTCTAAATTTCCACAGCTGTACCTCCCTCCAAAGGTGACCACATCCCAAGAGCTCTCAGACATTAGCACTCATTAGTTCTTCTGCTCACTCCATGATACTGCTCTGTCCACCCACAGGTCCATCTTGCCATTCCTTTTACCTGCAGCAGTCTAACACTGCTACATTTCAACATAAGCCCCAGACCAGATGTAACCCCTTCTCTTCCCTCTTACACAGGCAGACTACAAAGCAGTGTGAAAATTCAACAGATCTTTCAGAGGTGACATTTTATTGATTACAAACACCCACAGGGATAAGAGAGATGCTCAAAACCTAAGAGCTTCAGATCTACATGACGAATACAGCTAATACAGATGTCCCAAAGGTTTAATATAAAACCTAGCATATGCCAGCTTCCAGTCTATCCCCTGTAAAAAAAAAATAATCTTCATTTAAGTATTACCCAAGCAAGATGAAACACTGCTTATGTTTCACAAAGATTGTGTATTTTAATTGTATAGGATCAAGGCCACAGGAGAGCCCAGAGGACAGCACACTCCTGCAGCAAAGGAGCAGTATCAGTTCAAACAGCCTTTGGTGGAACTTTGGGCAGAGCGGAATTAGACAATAGCACCTTTATTCATGCTGACGAAACAGACCATGAAGCGTTTCCTTGGGATCAGTACCAAAGCAAGGTACTTGCTCAGGAGAGCAAGCATGTGTTTAACAAGAATCTGACACTGGTATCACACCAGGTAGAACATGACTTTTTGAAAAGTCTTCTTTGGTAGTGTTGCACACTCAGGACAAGAAGTCTTACTCGACAGGCAAAATCCCATTCAAAAAAAAAAAAGTCAGAAAACCACTCAGGTCAAATACACATATCAAGTCTGGTTACTTTATTCTCTGTCTGTGCAGTCAGTTAAAAGAACTGTTAACGATGAAAACAGACAACCACAGAAGCTTTAGGTACAGTATTGTAACACTGACGAAGCAAATGACCACATGGAACACATTCTTGATGCTGGTCATTTCCAAACAAAACAGAAGTACATACACAGGTCTAGTTCAGTGTCAAACCTGATATTAAGCAGCAAGTTGCTCACAAATTGCAGCGCAGTATATGGCATTTACTGCAAATAGCTACAGCAGCAGTGCTTCGTGGATGAACTGCATAGAATTAGCCTCATGGGCAAACATGAAATCACCACGATAACAACCTTAGTGGCTCCCTAAGAGGTCTGAAGTATGCAATTCTGCATGAACGAAATTGTTTACACTCCTCAAATTTTAGCAGTAGAGTTTGTATTTTTTTCCACCAGTCTACACTGTGTTAGTTCTAGCCTCCATTGCAGTAACTGTTTTCAATCAACTGTCACATACAACATCAGTATGCTTGTTCAAAGTTACACATCCCCTGAACAAAGGTGATATGACTATATTTAAAATAAGAACCCAAAATACATTCAATAGAATGGCTGCAACAATAAGGCAATAAACAGTTTTAAAAATAGATCCTACTAAACAAAACAAGACCAACTGTGTAACCTGCTGCCTTCATAAGGTTTCAGACTTGAATGGGTCAATTCAAAGTTAAGTGCTTACCCTCCAGTAACATTTCAGAAGTACATTGGTAAAAATATTCAAAGACATGAGTATATTGGACTGCCAGCAATCACAACCCAGGTCTCATCACAAGTATGCTTCCACACGTACAGCTTCGATTTTACAGTTTTGCATGAAGTGCCCTGAACAAATACTTTACTACAAACTCCTTCAGGAAAAGTTAATGCATTTACATTAGCATTACAAGATTCTCCAAGCCACATAATAAGCGCCATTGAGCCTGCTGCTAGTAAGATCATTCAAGTTATGCACTAGGCAGACAGCATTATTGGCAGCTATGTCACAGCAATATTAAAAAATAGCATCAGCTGTTTAAAAAAAAAGTGAAAATAACAGTGGGGAGTGAAATGTACACCTACATACAGCAAGGAAGGGAGAAGGAAGTTGTTTGGCCAGAGCAGGTGAGCTAACCAGAGGTTCCACATCCATCTTATTGCATATTTGATCAGTGTCAGCATTCAAACCCACGTGGATTCTTCCTTCATTAATTTGCTCCAGAGTCTTGATTCTTGCAGCTTACAAGCTACCCTGTGACTAGCTATGTATATTGCTGTAACTTCACATTTCTTCACAGCTACTACAAGCAGAGACTGAGTTAACTGTTACTTATCTCAGCCAGGGATACTAAAAGCATCAGCCTTTTGCCATCTTCGGTGCACTACAGGTAAAAGTGGAGTGTCAGCTTCCCATGTCAGTACAAAAAAAAAAAATATTTGTAAGCCTACATTAGCAAAGCTCAAGACAGAGATGTTAAAGATGCTTCTTAAGAAAAATGTACCAGTACTTGGTTAGCAGTACTAAACTGAAACTCATTGTGTGAAAAGACACGCAGTCACAAGAGTATTGTGACGCTAAATTGTGCAAGGCAAACAACCAAAAGCAGCAGGGAATAGAATCTGATTGCTTTTGCTCAGTTTGAATAAATGGAAATTTTACTAATTAAAAAAAAAAAAACACACCATCATTAGGCATTCCCTTGCCAGCAGGCAGGATTGAGGAAGGAGACTATAAATATTTCTATATGTGTTTAAAGGATATGTGCATAGCACTGCCTAATCATGCTTGAAAATGTAACCCTGTCATACAAAGCATGCTTACCCATACATGCTTGTAAACAAAACAAAGACTTTTAGGCTCCAAAGCAAGGTCAGGACTGATCTGACCTATTTTACTACAGAAACATACAGATCATATTATGAAGGGAATGCTCTCATTAGCTTTTGAGCAGTATTCACAGATGACAAAACATAAAGGCACTAAAAGAGTGCCCTTTCCCAAATGTAGGCCTCCTTGACAGAAAAGCTCACATGGATGGTTTTAGCCACATAAATGAACCAAACCATGAGTTTCGAAGTCATAGGTTTAAACTTCTTAACAGCTGAAAAGTACAAGACCAATTTTGTAGTCCTGTTTAACAGCTTTTATACAGGGAACAATGATCCAAACACCACCACATATCCAAGCTTTGAGAGAAAACTGAAGCTGTTTGCGACAGGACATGTTGGTAGTTCTCTCTCATACACACATCAGAGGTGGTACAGGCATGTTGCTCCTCTTTCTCTCATGCATCCATCTTCAGAGCTGCTAGATAAACAGAAGTGGAGCTCTTCATTCTGAAGTGCAATGGCAAAAATAGCTGTATAACTCATTCTCACAGAAAACAGGAGCAACTGCTTATTACCGGTAAAAATCAGTAAGTCCTCCAGCAAACATGAGGTACCAAATTCATTGCTATAACACTATCAAAGTGTTACAGGGACGTCTACCAAATTGGTCAGAATGCCTTAACTGGTTCCAGGAAAGAAGGTACATCAGGTACCATATACCTGATATAACAGTGTACACAGTGAACTACAGAAGTGCTTAGTAGCCAAAAAAACCCAAAGATGACACTTTGGAATACTACACAGTGAGTATATAACCTAGGCACCTTCCCCTCTCCAATACAAGTTGGACTTAGAGTAAAAGGTTCAGGAAAAACATCCAGAAACCTAGCAGGACAGTTTAACCTGTAACCCTTCCTATACCAAAACCAAGAAAACAGGTCTTACCACCAGATTCCTTTTTTTTTTTTCCTTTTTTTTAAAAGGAGATAACAAAAACCTCCAAATCATGTGATTTTAATATTGATTTTTCATATTTCATTTATGTTTTATATAAGAACTTAACTAAAATCTCACTTTAGAATACTTTCTAAAGCAGGGTATTCTTTCAACCATTTTTCAAGTTCACATGCATTCTCAAGGTTGAAGAAAAAATATATATTCATATATAGCTAAGGAAATAAAACTCAATTTCACTATATGTAGTTACACTGCTGTAAAGAAAAAATCATTTAGAAACCATTTTAAGTCTGAAATGTTTACTATGTTCAGACTAATGCAAAGGCTAAGCCTATGGTCCAGGACCTGGTTTTAGTCTGTGTGCAGAGACAGGAGCTACAGCAGCTCAGCATTTTTTCTGATGGAGATTTCTCTCCACTCCTCCTTTTTTCCAGTATTCTATGACTTGCTGCTGAAGCCCTCCCTGAACCTCTACCAAAGCAGCATATATTGGTAGTTCAGAAGTAAAGGTCCACAGGTATTAACATTACCTCTTAAGTCAGTTTTTCAGTAAGATCAAACCACTGAACAACACAGTGCAGAGGTGCTTAACCATTCATAGTTAGTCAGAAGTTCAACGAAGTACATTAAGTTGTGTCTTCTGTAGGTGCCCTTCGCTGCCGAGCAGATTTCTGTCTACCTCTCTGAGGCGAGGGTGGAGGCTCCTGATCAGCTTCAGTCTCTGAAGGCTCGTTGTCCCCTTGTTGGGACCCCGTATCACCTATCAATTCTCTCAGGAATTTGAATTTAGACAAAAACAATTGCCAAACCACGTACCAGCCTGCAGGAGAAAGAGAAAAAGGTACTGCTTAGTTACTTCATATAAATTGATAGTCAGCTCTCAGGCAAAGTATACCAGAAAAGTGAGAAGAAATTTGATCAGCTCCCACTCTCTGATTGACAATTCTCAACTCCAACACCCCTCCGCAACACACCAACTCCTTTCTACAGTCCTAGAAATACAATTCGATTTGATAAAATTTGGCCTCATCTGGAAGCAAACATTTAAGCTCCAGGCAAGGACCTACACATTCCGAATTGTACTGCTACAGCAAGCAGTAGGTGGGTGATAACTACTGCATAAAGGCCTAAACTGTCAGGAGAAAAGGAATTTCTATGCTGAACACAAGGACTCGGGATTCATGGCACAGACACTGAAAAAAGGCAGCACTGGGGTTTCTACCGTCACTCAAAAAACACATTCTGAAAAGTCGTATTTCAAAAGCTGAATTACATAACTGCTATTAAGCACACTTGTGGAGATCTTGACATTAATACCATATTCTATAATAAATCATTATGAAATGCACAAGGTCTTCTTTATCAAGTTCACTAAAAGACATTCAAGGCGTTCCCTCACCATGCTCAAATCCTATTAAAGTAAAATTAACATTCTCTGGTAAATTTGTGTTCTGCTCTACCGCCAAAATGCTCTGGGTCCCAACACTATGCAAATAAAAGAGTTGAGATTGTCACATTTCTAAAATCTCTCTTGAAAAATATTTAAGATCCAGCTCCTCCTCTCTCTTTTGCAAGTATTTTTTTAACAGTCAGCCAAAGAACTTAAAAAAGCAGATATAAATATATCTAAACCTAAAACAGAATCTTTGTTTTAAAAGGTCTCCCTTAATATTCAAGGACCAGCTCCTCCAAGCTCAGGAACGATGCATCCCAACAAAGAAGTAGTCAGGCAAAAATGCCAGGAGGCCTGCATGGATGAACAAGGAAGTCCTGGACAAACTCCATCACAAAAAAGGGAAGCCTACAGAGGGTAGAAGCAAGGACAGGTAGCCTGGGGGGAATACAGAGCCTGTCCAAGCAGCCAGGGATCAGGTTAGGAAAGCTAAAGACCTGACAGAATTAAATCTGGCCAGGAAGGTCAAGGGCAACAAGAAAAGCTTCTATAGGTACATCCATGATAAAAGACTAGGGAAAATGTGGGCCCTCTCCAGAAGGAGAGGGAGTGTAGTGATAGGATATCAGTATTAAGCTGGAAGAGGGGAGGTTTAGACTAGATATGAGGAAGAAATATTTTCCTGTGAGGGTGGTAAGGCAGTGTCCCAGGTTGCCCAGAGAAGCTGTGGATGCCCCATCCCTGGAGGGGTTCAAGGCCAGGCTGGATGAGGCTTTGAGCAACCTGGGCTAGTGGAGGGCGTCCCTGCCCATGGTAGGGGGTTGGAACTGGATGATCCTGAAGGCCCCTTCCAACCCAAACCGTTCTGTGATTCCGTGAGCTATAGAACAGGAATGCAACTTGTCTGTGAATTACACAGTTAAGTAGCATAAAATTTAAACAGTTATTTGAAATGCTACACAAGCATCATCTGCAACACCAAAAACATCTGTCTTCAGTAGAGCTATAAACTAATACTCCCTTCCTGTGTTCAGAAGGTCTTGCTAGCTATTCAGGCCTATACTGCTGACCTATGCAAATATCAAGAGCCTTATTCTACAGAGCTACGGAAACCCATCCTGCCGATTACACCGCTGTCAGCAGAAACAGGCTTCTGAGCATGGACAACAAGAGCATATTAGGGAAGTGGCACTTGTGTAACCACAGCACCACTAATTTTTATTCTTCTTCTTCTTCTGTAATCAGTCATGTCAATACAAGCAGGCCATTGCTTAGGACAAAAAAAAAATCCCACCCTTCCCCTCCCTCCTGGAATACTTTTCACATCCTGCACACTTTTAATTTCCATAAATTCTCTGCTGCTGAGGACAGTTTGAGGAAAGCTTTTATAGGGCAACCTTTTATGATCTAAATCAATCCCTAAAGCCTACACCAAGTATTTCATTTTCCATTAATATCTAAACCTTTAAATGATTTGTGATTAAATTGAATGTGATGACCCACAAATGCACTAAATCCCCCTGCACCTAGAAAAAAACCTTAATGGCAGATGTCTGGTTTTGGCATCTTTTTTCTTAGAAGGAAAAATGCCAACTTTTTGAAAGTTGTTTCCATTGAGGGGTATTTCAGGTCTCTGGGACCTTCAATGCTTTGTGTATTCTGAAGACCACCACTCAATCCATTCTTCCCATGGGTCTAAACATCATTAAAAGTAATCATCCTTATTTCTAGTCCACAGAGATTAAAAAAAAAAGCATAAAATATTCCAAGGGAATATAGGACACTTGCAAGAAAGTGACATCTAAGCAGATTATTACAAGCCATTAAAAATTGATTCAACTCCCCAGTTTATTGACAGAGCCAAAATTTGAGGCAGTAGTGCATGAAAAGCATGCAGTACATTCTCCTAAATCCATTTAAACATATGTGTGTAGGGGCACTTAAGCATATGGCAGGAGAGAGGGGGAGGAACTCTGAGCCACAAATTGTTTGTTTGTGTTTTTTGACTGTTTGGGTTTGGTTTTTGCTTGGTTGGGTTCTTTAAAGTTGTTGTGTTTAAAATCCTACCTAAACCACCTACAAAGTGAATTACTATGAAACAGACACATTACTTCCAGAGAACACTACAGAGAAAGAGGGGGGAAGAAAGAGAAAAAAATATTCAAGGCCTTCCCAAAGCATGACTTGGATATAGTTGGTATAAATAAATACCCCACTAAGTGAGGTATTTTAACTTAGGCTAGATAAAGTGGACCACATGCTTCCTCCATCACTGCAAACAGACCACTTAACACACAGAATCACGGGGCAGGGGGCAGAGAAAGAAATACTTAAGAACATTCACAGTTCATTCTCACACACCCCCAAGAAAAGTAGCATTTTTTCCCCCGAGGTTTGGTTTGAGTTAGAGCACAAAGGTCCGAGTACCCAAAATACCGACTTGAGCTCAGGAAGACAAGACAGTCTAAATAATCAGCCAACAAGACTTGTTATAGTCGAGAAACAACCAGGCCAACGATAACAGGCAGGTGAAAGGAACCACAGCAGTGCCTGGAAAAGAAAATTTCAACAGGCTTAGCCAATGATAACAATGGGAAGGAAACTAGGCGTGAAAACCAGAGTTTCAAAACCTCACAAGGTCTGCCAGCCTGTAGGAGACACGTGTAGGTATAAGGTAATCAAAGTAGAAAGATTTCTTTCTTTCACTTGCTCTAGTTACAGTATCAGCATGGATGGAAAGTTAAAAAAAAAAAATCCCCAAAACAAGCAGACTTGCCTCTTCAGCTGAGACTCCCTGTTGCCTCACAAGTTACTGAACACTTAAAGAAGAATTTCCTTGGAAATAATCAGACTACTAAAGAAGTGAAACAAGTTATTCCATGTAAGAGAGACCCTCTCCAGCAACAATATCAACTAAATACACCATTAAGCACCACCATACACACAGACAATGCCTGGAGGCAGATTCATGGTACTGAGTTACTTCTGAATAAGAAGACCAAGGCATTTTCTATTAATTTCTCAGCCTCTTAAAAACATTGCAATATAGGAACACCAGACATCATTGCATACTGAAGAACTGCAAGTTACATAATAGTGTATTTTTAAAAAGAAAATAATTGTAAAATAATTTAAAATACACAGAAAAGGAAAATAGGCATTTTCTTGCATTCTTGTCTTTATGCAGGTCAGTTTAGCTCCGCAGCTCTTTTGCTGTAGAGCTCTTCCTGGACAGGTACCTGACAGCACCAGTTTGCATTGCAAATGCTTCCACTTTGTTCAGGTAAGCCACTCTCAAAGAAGCGCTACTGGTTGAACTTCACCACATGCAAAATATTTTATTTGAATCAGTTTTCTGGTGCTTACTTTATTTTCTTTAGCCATTTGATTTACCTTTTTCAAATCACCCTCAGCTTGATTGAACCTGTGGAAGTCAAACAGCATACCCACAATACACCTTCATCAAACAAGCAGTGATGACATGCAGACTAGAATATATAATATTTCTACGTTAACTGGTGAAAAAAGTAAGCCAGGTCCAACAGCACATCACTGCAATGCAAAGCGGGTGCTCCAGCTCTTGGTGCAACAGATACCTGAATCCAGAGAGAGTCAGGAAATCCTGTCTGCCGCAAGCAGCCAGTATTTTGCTTTTAGGCAAAAGCTCAGTTCCCAGCCTTGAAAGCTGGGAACCACTGTCTCACTTAAAATGCCACAGCCAGGTGCCATCCAAAGACATTTAGGCCACACATGGCCTTGTGCCATCAGCACATCAACTCCTCTTATCAATCATGATGCAATGTGTTTGTGAAGATGGGGCCATGAGTCAAAGCCTCTTTTACTGACTCTTACAGAGATGTATGTGACATCAGGATGTTAAACAGACTTTGACTTGACTATGTTTAGAGCTACCTTTTCTGTTACTTCCTACACCCGCTCTTAGTTCTTCGTAAAGGGGAAAGAAACAGTGATCTGACTACAATGTTACTCCCTTTCAAAAGGTGGGGGGTACAAGTCTCAGGTCCATGTGTTTCATTAACCTCATACTGGCTTGTATGCAAAAGCTAACAGAGGGTTTTCTTTATAGGAGCACATTTTCCTCTTTGATTGGAACCAGGAAGAGCAACCAAAACAAAAAACCCAGGGCTAATATGGAGAGCTGGGGTAAAGCAACCTGATTTTTCTTATGTGAAATACAAACAAAACCAGGAAAGGAATGTGATGCAGTAAGAGCTCAAGACAGAGTCCGAAGATCTGGCTTCTTTTTCTGACCCTACTATGGACTTCTTGTGCAGTCTTGCAAGATCATTTTACCTCTGTGCCCCTACTGATTTGAAAATAGGATGCTACTACTCTAGCACGTGAAGACTAACTTAGAACTAGGGTATCACCAAAGTGAATGTTGCCTGTATTCAAATACCGAGTGTTCATCACAGAAAATCTTAAGCAGCTATAGCTGAAAAAAAGGAGCACAGAGGTGCTCATGTGACCACAGGCAAGTCACTCCAATGCTGCTCCATTTTCAAGATGTAGATAATATACTGCCCTGGTGGATGACTTTGATATGGAGAAGTTCAGACTGAAGGAAGCATACACTACTCTGATATTGGAGTAACAGAAGACATCAGGTGACGTGGTGCTCGGTTCTGCATGGCTCCTCCAACCTGGTCCCATTTAATGCAATATTCTACCACATGCTGCTTGCCGACTGGTAACAAGGAAACTCACTCTTCTTCCAATCTCCCATTTAGAACCATTTCAAAACTCAACTTCAAATTAAAGAGTATTTTCTCTTTATTGCTGGTCTAATCAAGCATGACGCTCCTCATCTTTTGAGGTGTTTTACGAGATTCACTCATTTAAGATAGCTACAAAATTTTCAACTAAGCATTAAAGAAGAGTTATTCAGGTAGAATTTAGGGCTCAAATGTTTTCCCATCTGCAACTGAATTCAGACTTGTGAAGCAAACCACACACCTGTTTCAGCACTTTAAGTTACATGATTTTTGTTTTAAGGTCCTATGTCTCAAACCACATCTCATTACCCTCTCTTGCCAAATGAGATGAATGCTTCCATCTGTTCCACTGAAGG